ATATATATATATATATATATATAAATTAAGTAGTGTGTGTGTGTGTGTGTGTGTGTGTGTGTGAAAATAGGCTGTACATTTATACGTATGGGATGTATGACGACGTCGGTTAAAAGTGACCATTGACACGGATTTTTAGCTCGCGGCTCGTCTCGTCCCGCGTGGGGTTATACAACTTCAAAGACGGCGATGAAACCCTAGAGGGGTCTCGGCCCTCGAGAGGTTCGAGGGAGAGAAAAAGAGAGAGAAAGAACGACGGTGCGAACGTGGTAGCCGCCAAGGTGGAGGCGTTGTGTGCGCATGGTAGCGGGTCGCGTCTCGCGGCGTGGCGGACATAAAACGATTCGGAACGAATTTCGACAAATTGACGTGGCCGCCGCGAGCAACGTACTCTCTCCCGCGCGGCAGCCTAACCGAGCTCCAACTACCACTCCGAACGAACTAAGGTACCGACACGGCGAAAAAAAGTCCCGTCGACTTTACCCCTTTCTCCCGCCATCTCCGCGGTGTGGTCTTACCTAGCAGCCTTTTTTTTCCGCTTTCTCCTTGTCCATATCTCTATCGCCTCTACCTGCTCTCCTCCCGCGGCTCTTCCTCAGATTCCTATCCTTAACATCACGGACCACGTCCACCACTGGGTAATCGATTTAACGCAACGTCGCGCGGTAATTGTTAATTTAGATTTTTCGCGCGCTCCCGCGGCCGCATTGAAAGCTGCTCTTCCGTCTCTTCCTTTTATTCACTTCTAATGAGATCCGAAGATGGCTGACGCGCGATTCGTGAGATCGTCCTCGAGTAAATTAGGAAGAGAGCTGAAAAAGTCGCGCGGAACAAAGCGATCATTTTTCGGCGATTCGCGGGACGATTCAAGCACCGCGAATAAAGATTCGCAACAATTCTCAACGTTCGCGCGGTCTCGTCGATCTCGCGCTTGCTCAGGCGTTTTCTCAGGCGTCGCAAGGCCAGTCGGATGCCACACAGTTTTCCCTTTTTATCCCGTGGTCAGGAAAACCACCGAGCGCGTTACGGGCCGCGATTGAATGCGGCGGTACTTTAAGTGCGCGTTTCTTGAAAACGCGGTCGCGCACGATGCAACAACAAAGTGCAACGTCGATGACAAACGATGAGCAGAAACGAGGTGTCAGAATGACGGGACCGCAAAAGGTAATGATATGATTGGGCCGTTGTACGCCCTGTATGGGGGATGTTTGCGGTTTTGTGGTTTCCGCCCCTCAAATCGACGCCTCTTCTCTCTCTCTCTCTCTCTCTCTCTCTCTTCTTCTCTATATGCCTCCCCCGCTCTCTCTTTCTGCTGGCTCTTATTGTCGGGCACGAGCATCGTCAATTTCACGCCGCGCCGCGGTTTACGATTCGCTAAACGACAGCGACGCGTTTTCGCGCGCACGGCTTAATTTTGTTGGCGGCATTGTAATTTCAAACACATCCTTCGATTTTACTATGGATGCGAGATTGCAATCATAATACTGACGCACATAATCGAATGTAAAACGCAAATCTTTTAAAACAAAGTCGAAACTAATTTGTCAATCCTACTAATTTGCCCGTGTTTATAAACTCGATCATTTAGCATTAATTAATGATTAATTAATGATTGGTTTCCGCGGGACTCATTGCTTACAGTAGAACATATTAGTAAATCAATCTGCAATGTTTATTAATTAAGTTGAATGATATGTTAAAGAAGTTTTTTTTTTATAAAAAAAAGTTCATAAATTATAATTATATTATAAAATATGTTGCATTAGAAATTATATATATATAAATAATTTCTACGATAAATAAAAATATTTAAAAATTTTACTTTTCGACATTATGATGTATCAAATATTTAATTAAATACAGAATTGTTAATAATAATTGAAACAGAATATTGCAGCTTTTAAAATATTTGCAGCATTTTATAAATTAATCTGATATATAAAAAGACACTACACGAAATACATCTTGCGTTTTTTTTTTTTTTTACAAATCATAGGACAGAGACGACGAGTAAATTATGCGCATTCTTTCGCATAAGAAGCCAAAGTTATATGAATTAAATCGCCAAGACTATGTAAGCGATATCCGTAGTGTCTTGCTATTTTATTGAACGATCGATAATTGAGCGATACTACTTCTCCATCTGTCGAGCGATAAATTGTCGCTCGGATTTGCGTAAGACTCGCGAGACGTCTAATCCGTAAACGACCGAGTCAATCGAGCCCCTTGCATAAGCCGGCGAGATTCCAGTGATTGGTTAGTTTCGTCTTCACATTACATCCGGTTCTTACATAAAGATCCTCTATCAGGATAAAAGACTCGACATCAGAATGGAAAAATTATCAGAAACGAAGATTCTTTTTCAATATTATTTTAAAAATTTATGATGTCATACATAGTAAATTTATCGCTATATCAATTCATATTATCATATCATATTTCAATTGTCAAATTAAAAAAATATTGAAAAATCATTATATTAACAATAAAAATTGGCAATTCAGATATATTATATTATTAATTTAATTTACACATCATCAAAGATTTGTCACTTTATTCCTTATCTTTATTTTATAACAAAAAATATACATTAAAAAATATACATTAAATTTATCCTTAAGCATTTATTCAACTTGTTTAAAAAAAAATCATTCTGTGCAATGAAATGATTCGAGATACTCCTGACTTTTTTTTCCTTTTGCCGCATCTCATTACATACGAGCATGAGCAGCATTAATCTTCTCGCACGTGGAAAGCCCCACGCGCTTTAATAGACAAATTAATCGACCCGGATGAAACATGGGACAAAAATGGCTACAGATTCTGCAATCAAACCACTCAATCTGATTTCGCCAAAAGTATGTATAAATCGGGATTAGTTTGTATAGACGTGAGTGTTCTTAGTGTCAACGTTTTTTTATCTTGATAATACAGAGAAAAAAACATGCGTGGTAATCACATGGTGTGAAATCACAGATATTCCTAGAATTAATTAATTTAGATTTAAAAGGAACAGACTAAATATATGAATATCTTTAAAGATTTAAAGATATACATTCTCGTGTATATAAATAATTAAAAATGGGTTATAAATTCTTTCTCTATTTCCTGTCAATTTCTCGAATAAAGAACAATTTAATTCCAAGTGAATTTAATCCAAATTTATTCTCGACGGTTATTATTCTCTTCAAAATAAGCAAAAAATTTAAAATACCGCTAGATCTGAGATCGGAAGAGAATTGTTTTTGGGACGGTGTGCGTACAGGGACGCGTGTAACCACGCCGAGAGCGCTCGTTCCAGCAAGGCACATCGGCGGCGGCGGCGGCGGCGGCGGCAGCGATGTTCCAAGAAAGTTGCGGAATCTCCTGCTCGGGTCGGGTCGGGCCGGGGCACACGACGAATGGACAAATTACAGGGTGCACGGAATAATGAGGCTCCCGTTCTAGGACGTACATCAGAAATCGGGGCATCTCGCGGCTATAAATCACGCGGAACACGACCGCCAAGCCGCTTCGTAAAACGGCCAATTGACGTGTTTCAACTTGTACGAACGATGCGCGTGGCACGAGCTGTCACTACGGTCACTACGGTAATAATGTAAAGGGAAATAACATATAGAAATGTTAGCGATAAAATATAAAAAGAATACACAGAAATATAGAGAACTTATCGCTATACTGATGATTCGTTACGTATATCGCCTTTTCATATATATATATATATATATATATATATATATATATATATATATTATCTTGCGCTAACTTCTTATTAAATTTACATATATATTATCACCGAGTTAAACGAGAGAAATTTGCATTTGTAATAAAAAAGACTATCAATGATATTATATATAAAAACAATATAACGTATTGTCATCATGGAAGAACGAAAAGTATCGTTAAGCCGGGGACAGCTCGTTGAAACGTGGTTATCTCTCGAGTTAACCATATGGTAATGATATTCTGTCCGACTTTGCGATGTATCGCAAAAACGATATCGCGCGTGATACGGAAAACTGAACACGCTACTTCGAAATGTAACGTCAATATTATTCGAGATTGAGAATCCTAATGACACTAGTAAACTATCGATACATTCTTTTTTGATATTTCGATCATTTAGCAGCCAGACTTTCCGCTTGACACTCGAATATCCTATAGCAACGTTTTCTTACTCCAAGTATAATTTTGATATGGCAGATTATCTTACTATGAATGTGATATGTCACGTTATCATGAGATATTCATAATAGCATATTCATATTCTTTTTCGCGAAAAAGATAAATTAAAGATTAATATTTAATTAATTCTTAAAAATAATGAACATTTTATATCATAAAATTTATGTCTTATATTATATTATAATTCGATGTTTTATTCAATTTAACTTTCCTGTTTTTCTCTCAAATATCATTATTATATAAAATAATTAATTATTATTAAAAAATTTTTATTAAAAAAATAGTGAGATGTTTAATAAAAGATGGTTAATAAAAATAATAAAAAAAAATGTTATTCGACAACTATAATAGATACATATTTTGTGTTAGCGTTATAGCGTCGGTGTGTTCCGATATAGCAACTCTACCACCAATCGAAAAGAGAAAGAAGAAGGTCGCCTTCCTTTCGAAAGCGCGGGAAGAAATCGCGGCGATCCAGCAACGATTTGTCCGTTACGGGCAGTTGTTGAGGCAGGTCGGGCAGACCGACTCAGAAAATCAAATGGCCACGACGAATTTATGTGCATTTCAAGTTCGTCCCGCGATCGCTCTCGCACCTGTTTCTCGCCAAAACATTCCGCTTTGGAAAATGGAACATTTGTCGATATGTACTTTTACGCAAATTTAACGAGTAACGGTAAATACAAATTACAAGACAACTTACAAGCAACGGCGATTACTACAATTATTAACGATGGATGTATTATATCCAAACCTATAAAGTTATCGTACAAATTAGAGGATTGTCGTAACGGCGACCAAAAAGGTGCACATAGTATTGCGATAAGTCGCATTTAAAAGTCACACAATGCGCAACCGCGTTCGTTATCACGCGTAATAATACTCGTTTTTGCCGATCGTCATCGCGCGTCACCGGGCATCGTCTACACGCATGGCGCACGTCTGATGGAAAAAAAAAAAAAAAAAAAAAAAAAATAAATGGAAAAAGGAGGAAAATACAGAAAATCTCACTCACCCGTATATGGCGTCCTTGTCGCGCTTGTGGACATCGGGTACCGCTGAGGCCGCGGCCGCAGCTGCTGCCGCGAGAACATGCTGTGGCGGCTGAGGAGGTGGCGGTGGGTATTGGGGGTGAGCCGGGCCCATGCCTCCCAGGTGTGGGCTGTGATGGAGACCGGGAACACCGCGGGCACTACCATGTGGATCGTATAGCCCTGCGCCACCGCCGCCACCACCGCCTTCGAGGTAACCCCCGTGCAGCCCGCCATCGTCATACTGTAATCAACAAATTATAAAAGCTACTAGAGTTGAAATATTTTTTTCGATAATCCTCGCACTCGCACGTTCACTAATTAGATATTTTACGGTACGTAGTATGAAATATTTTTCGTTTTTACAGAGATTTAATTCGTACAACTTAAGAACATTCTTTTCGATTACTTCACTTTAATATGCATAAATGCTTCCTAATATCGTAATCCTCGATTTTCTTTTCTATTTAAATATAGGCACTATCTATTCTGGCGTTGGCTCGTAAATTTAGAATCGCGCATTTATAACGATTGACGCAAGGACTCGAAGCGCACGTGGATGGGGAACGTTCAAAAGGTGACACGAGAGACCGCGAGAATGTCACGTCTTTTTTAAGGTTTTTTTTTAAACTTGTAACAATCGTATCTTTGCGACTTTAAGACGAATACCAGTCTCTAAGAAACATTATGTATTCTACAATTAGATGTGCGATGCACATCATTACGATCTGTGGACGAGTGCGATGCAATTAGATTTAAAAAAATTAAAATCTTCATACACATGTCATCGACGTACTAAACGGTTGAAGCTCACATCATTAGTCGAGAATGATAAAATATACGATGCAAAACAATTACGTTGGTAATATCTATTTGAAAATTTACAATTTCAATAATTCTTAAATAGTGTATGAGTAATTAATAGTAATCTTTGTTCTCTAAAAATTTTTACCTGATATTTCTAAACGTGTAATCTATCATATTCGTAAGATAATGGAAGATTATTTCAATGCCGAAAGAAAATACTTTTAACTTACTATTGTTCTATTTTCAAAAGACACAAACACCTGTTGGAACTTTTGCGCGGAATCACGATTGTCAACTTTTTCTTCGTTATGCTATCATTGTCGGAAAAAGATAAGATTTAATCGCCGCGGGAGAAACAATTAATTACGTACTACCGTACGACCGGTAATAAATAACCGCGTATTTCAATTACGCCTAGCTGCACCGCCGACCTTCTAGAATACCGCAAAAAAAGGGCAAGGCCTCGTGATTTCTAGCAATAAAGTTCTCGCGCCGATGCAAAGCTGATGGATGACAAGCAAAAATGCGCTAATTGTCGGACAAATTCGAGTGCATGGTACATCGATCGGGCACAGAAAGAGAGGGGAGGGAGAAGGGGGAGAGGGAGGAGGGAGACAAATGGAAAAATGAAGACTCGCCTCGATCAATCGTGATCGGTTGGTCGACCGATCGAGAACGGAAGCGATGATTTTCCCCGAGTCCTCCAAAGCCCGCGGGTTGTCACGCCAGTCTGCGCGGGAACGAAAGCAAGCCGATTATTATCGCTAATTGCTTAATTCTAGCGTCGGGCTCGGAATGCCGCGTAATTTCGTCGCGAATACAAGAAGCGGCGGGAATTCGCGATTACCAACCGCGGCGAGTGGGAATGTGTGTTCGACGCAATCCGGAAGAATGCAATTGCGTCCATTACGGGACACGATACGGCAAAAAAATATCGAAAACGATCTGCAATCCGCGTTTCTGCTTAATTTAATTCACCTTTAGCGCAATTCGTGCCTGAAAGCGACAAAAAGCTACCAACGTATATAGAAATCTGTTTATGAGAGAGGGGGGGGAGGGGGAAAAATAATAATAATCCGAAAAGACATGACTGTGTGTGATTGTTCCCAATCTCTCTTCCTCTCTCCCGTCTAATTTGATTTATCTCGCGTGCATCAAATACCGAATATCAAGATTGCAATGAAATTGCGAAAATTACGCGGCGCGAATCAAATCGCCTGCTATCGCGCTTGAATTAATCCGATACGCGCGTTAAAGTCCCTCGAACGATCCGCTTCGGAACAGAATGCCAGTATGGCGCGCCGGTTAAAATTCGTCCTTTCCAACTACGATGTGCGACTCGTCCTCGTTTTCGTATCGCGAAAGTACAACGATAAGGCGTTGCGAAGAACCGAACGGAGAATATTGAATTAATATAACGCCGATATCTTCATCGGCGTTTCTCTCATATTTATTATGCAATCCCGAGCGTTCGATATACCCTTCACACTTTTATACAGTCAACTTTACTACAGACTACAACTAAAATCTTTATCCCAGATATTTTTAAGATATTTCGAAGACATTTTGACACATTGCAGATACTTTTACACCAAAAAATTAAACGCTATATTTATCTCTTTTCCAATTCCCTGAGCCGTGATAAATAAGTTAGAGATGTTATATCTTTTCAGAATGAATATAATTTTTAGAAATAATATTTCGCAATATTAACGTACGATAGATTATTTTCGAGCTATCATGAATATTTTCATTTTACGGTCTCTCTCTCTCTCTCTCTATTCATACAGATACGCAAGTTCCACTTATTCGCGAAAAAACGACGTAAAAGCGATTCTTGTCTGGTAGCGCGCGAACATGTCGCGTCTAGAATGCGAATTTCTCCGAGCAGGAGGACTGAAAAAGAGCGTGGACAATAATTCACCGTCGCGGCAGTATGAAGATATCACTCGACGAACGAGCGGAATATCTTAAGGGGTAGCAGGAAGCGGGGTGAGGTTGTGTCTCGAGACGCGATCGTGGAAGACTCGCGACGAACGTCTACCGCGACGATGGAGCTCGTCGTCGTCATCGTTGTCGTCGTCCTCGTCAACGTCGCTGAGAAGATTCGCGACAAAGCCGGTTCGAGAGAGCGAGCTCGTGCACGCCATATACAACACAATCGCTATTTACAGACGGTGTTAATTTGTGACCGAAACGGAGAAGTTACGGTACGACATTGCGACGATGTCGAGCTGTCACCGAGACGTACGAGCGATGGCCTGGCATGACGTGGAAAGAATACTTCCGGAAATGGCGAACAAATTTTTAGTAAACTGTTAGTCTCTCTTTCTCTCCCGTTCTTCTCCTCAACAACGCAACAAATTATCTCTCTCTTCCGTTAAGTAAATTTAGTTATTTCGAGCACTATCGAGCATGCTATACCGTCGTGAAATAAAATACCGAAACGAATGTCATATGCGTGAAAATTCATATGACTGCTTAAGTGCTGAATTATGTTGCACGTAACGTTCGCGTCTCAGACAAAAATTGAATAATGCATTCTAGGGTTAATACACGAATTTGTCCTGTCACGGGGATTAATGCAAGACGCGAGAATTCCGACGTATGGAAATGACGTTTTTGCGTAAACAGCGCGGAGCGTTGTCGCCGTTTCGATGTCGCACAGCCGTAACCGGCTCGGCAGGCCGGAGAACCGAGGGAAATTTAGCAAAGCCTGACAAACGACCGTCATTTATAAGTAGATAGGTCAAGGCGAGCGCTTAAGCATCTCGGTATAAATTGCGAAAAAGCGCACAGGGCGGAGGAGAAAAGGAGGACAAGACATGGCGTATTCGCTCGCTCCGTAATATTTGTGTACGTTGTCGACGATTATCTGCGGGTGAAAATATAAATCGACAGAATACATCGCGAGCCGGCGGATCATCGCGAGAATTCAGAAAATTGCCGGGTGATGAAGGTGCTGCCGTCGGCGAATTTTGCGAGTCGACGAGATAAATACCAATAATACAGCATTGGCCCTTTGCCTCTCTCTTTTGTTCCTCCGCTTCTTCCCTAATACTTTATTTCGGTCTCTGTTGCATTACGCGGCGTTGAAATCAATTTCAAATTCGTATAACTTATGAATAAATATCAAAGACGTCCCACTCAACTACAAATTTCTCAGGATGGAAAAAAATTTCGCTACTTGTAAGAAGATTTCAAAGAAAAAAAAATTCGTTTTAGTACCGTTGTCACCACTTCAAGGTACAACTCTGCCAAACAATTCTTTGCATAACGCTATTTTCATTAAGATTTTTATTTTTTTCTAGTTTACGTATTCTTTAATTTTTTTGATAAGAAAGCATTGGAAGCATTGGGTACCATCAAGATTTCGGAGAGAAAAAGGCGAGACCTCTCGATGACGTTTGACGGCGGAGCAAACTCACCGCGAAATCGGCAAGCATGTTCGCGAGCTCTTCATGTCAACCATAATGTTTTATTTCGAAACAAACTTTTGCGTCGAAATTTTCATTTGACATTTAGTGTCGGCATAAAAATAAAACTCGTTCACCAAGGGGGAAGGACCGCCTGGCGTCGAATATAATCGAGATAGATTGATTATTATTTAACGAACGGCAAATGACGATTTACAATTTATAATAAAAGTTCAGCGGATATGCACCGATTATCAACATTAAACTATTTAAGAATGCTTTCGTTATTAATATCGTGGGAGAAGCATCAACGACATTTAAACGAAAGAAGGTAAAAGAAATATTCCGTGAATATTCCGTCTTTTTTTATGATATCAATATTTAAAAAACGTTCTAACGTAATATTTTTAATTATAAAAAATTTGCTTCCATGACTTCAATCTGAGCTCATTCTATTACGGATTCTACTTCGTTTAATATTTAACGTCCATTTAACACATTCTCTTTTCTCAACTGCACACGATTATATGATACAATAAAGTATAATTATTACACATGACGATAATTAGTTTCCTTAGAAATTCAATTATCTCAAGCAATTTGTATAAAATCAGATAGAACTCTCGTAAACTCGCACCTTACTATCTTTCAACTCACTTCTCTTTCTATCTTCATTCTTTTCTCACTGTTAGAATAGAAAATCTAACGATAAACATCAAGGTAACACAAAACTCCGAATTAACCCTTTCGTGGTCACGCTACGAGTACGGTTCTATGACAAAACGTTTTCTCTATAACAACAATTATGTTGTGTGTTTACTTTACAATACGTGTCATGAAGCGACCCTTCTTTTCAGTGTTTTAAAATATATTAGCACGTTTATATTTAACAAACTCACTTTCGGTTGCAAATGATAAATTGGATCGTCCCCGCCTTCTTATTTTCTGGTGAAATGTGAGAATATCGTATTTTCGAAAGCATAATCAGACACATATAACACAACGACACAATTTCCAAGTCATTCACCGATAAAGCTATTTCGTGCATTTGAGAGGCGTTTGACGGAAGGTTTATGGTTGCATTTGAACGGTCGCACCGACCGCGGTCGCATATTTTCGGAAAACAGAATTAGGCTCGTATCGAGAGCGGCGCCCGTCACACGGCTCTAAATCGCGGGCACCGAGCTGAGTTAGGCCCATTTATCTCGCGCATGAATATGCCTAACGACTGTCCAGACGAAAAAAGGAAAAAACGGCGGCGACGCGGCGCGCACGGCCAATGGGGAACGGCGAGAAATCGATACGACTTTAATCCGTAGGCTAAAGGCCGATATCCGCAATCGGGAGAGCGAAAGTGATTGATGGATGCCCATAAATACATAATCACGGCTTATTCGGCGGCGGTACAGCGCCGACGGACGACGAAAAATCGGATACACCTCGTCGTCGAAGAGCCGTCCGCCATTCCCGTGGCGTTCGGAATTTTTAATCCGAAACGCGCTATCGCGTTACACGGATTTCCTCACCAAAATGCGTACGCGCCGCTCATGCGAAACGATCGCATCGACTTCTAGGTGTTGCTTAGTTTTCAATTGCTCCCTAACTTTGACGGAACAAGATTCGGAAACAGACACAAAATAATATTAAAAAAAAATATATATATAGAAACGAAGAACACACTTGGAATAAAAATAAAATAACATTTTTGTCACACTTGTGTACATTTGTTCCTAACGATAGAAATTTGAAGTTTATAAATAACAATTATGTTTCTCATTAAAATGAATCTTGATATCTCTAAATAATTTATATATATATATATATATATATATATATATATATATATAAAACAGTTAGAGTAAAATTAAAGAGATAAAAACGGCTAGTAATCCCAAATAAATTTGATGCTTATCGTATCCGTGGCTATTCGAATTCCCAGATACCCGTCATCGTATCCAACAGATAAAAATTTTCATACTCGCCATTATTTCTTCGACAGTCACGCGTTTAACTCCTAGTTTCGCTCGTGTTCGCTCGCAAGCTCCGACGGAAAACGTTAGGTCGTGAAAAAAATTCACCTGTCAAAGACCAAGCTTTTGCCATAGAGGCTTTCTCTATCACGCAAAGAATTCTCCGTGCTGCACGCGAAAGAGATGTTTGCGATCCACCAAAGGAGACGCGCACGCACATTTCGGCAATTTTGTAAGCGCGACCGGGACCGAACGATGGGATGAAGCGGAATTAAGCGGTAAAACGCGCGCGCTGGACCATTTTGCACGACTCGGCTGCGATTGAGATGCCGGGATACCAGACGCAAACATATCATTTGCCCGAAATTGTCAATACTCATATTCGGCTCATACTCATACTTATATTCGGCTTACTTGGAACTATTTTCACAGCAAAACACACTTAACACTTTGAAAATGAGTCACTGATATTTATTCTTAGTAACGGAAATATAATAACGTGGAATATATTTTCTTCACGTATTTACGTCAAACATTGAGAAAGATTCCAAAATTATACCTCATTTTAATTCTCATGTATATATTCGACGAAGAAGACTTGGGGGGGAAACAAAAACACGCGACAAGATTCCGTCGGTGCGTTATCAAAAGTTGAACGACAAAAGAGTTTGGTATCCCAGAAAAAAGTCGCACACAAAATCGCACACATCACAATACCACACGCGCGAAGCAACGTAAACACGCGAACGATTATCGGCGCGAGAAATGCGCAAGCTTTTGCATGGATTCAGTTATCAGGAATCAATACAATCCGTTTAGTACCGTGCATTGAATGATCGAGAAGTGTCAATGCAGTCGAATTTAATCCGCAACTCTTTCGCTTCGAATCGAAACGAGTTCATCAAGTATTTCGTATTTGCATAGAACGAGAAAAATATTCAAATAGGCCGAGTATCTCGCGTCGACAAAACAAGCTACAGGCTTAACTAAAAGATATATAATTTTTTAGAATATGCCATATATTTCAAACATTTATCCACAATCTGTCAATTCTATCGTAAAAACATCTTTTAAAAAGAACGAATATTATCGTTGCTTTTCATGGAAATTAGATATCTTGATCTGCAGCTATTTTAAGAATATGATTCGTTTGCTTGATACGAAAAGAAAATTCATCTACCAATATGTGTTACACGTGAATAATATCAAAAGCGAGAAATAAAACTCCTTTTCGCGCGCATAATTTTAATATTACCATATTACCATATAATCGTAATTAATGTAATTGTCAGGAATATTTAGAATACCAAACTCAAAAAATGTTGAGAAAGTTATAGTTTATGTACATCCGACGGCTAGTATCACATAATCATGAAGAGAATAATCATTAAAACCATCACAATCGAAATCATATGCAAATAAAAAAATGATATTTATAAATCTTAAAAATGTACTTATATTATTTTCAATGCCCGAGAGATTGTTTGGACTTAAATGAGCAAATATAATTTTTTAACAAATTTCACGTAAGCGAATGTAAAGTGTTTGTGTAAAATGCGCGCAAAGCAATTCGTCGCATTTGAAGGGAACAAAAAACCGCAAGTTGACGCAAGGCATGATTAATTCTCCGAAAAGAGGTATAATAAATTTCGTGATCTCTGCACGCGGTGAAAAACTTCAAAATTCAGATGAATGTAACATTGTCGATGCTAAAACATCGAATGCGACTATATAAAACTGAAAATGATACAGAGTTAGATAAAACTAAAATAGACTTTAATACGCAATAATAATATTTGGGAAATCTCATAATACAAAGATAATAATTTGCATTATTATATTGTATCGCATGGTGCTACTAGATCTCAGATTTGTTGAAATATGATTCATTAAGTTTGTGTCACTCCCGGCGCTTAAATTGTAAAAAAGGGAGTTTCAATAGTACTTAATTGAATTATTATAGACAACTATCAATTACTGGAATAATGTTGCAATTATTTATCACGTTAGTAGGGAATAATGAAGAAATAATGCAGCTAACTTTTGACACATTAGAAATGTTTACGAGACACACGGTGAATGGAAACGCGTTTCGGAGTGGCGATGCCTTTCATCATTCAGAACAACAACGGAATATCAACCTGCCGCTTGTTTTAATTAAGCATTCGTAATGTCATATGCATTTGTAATCGCAACTGGAGTAAATGAAAGTTACAAAGTATCGCGCTCAGCTTCTGAAATCTAATCAAACGCTTCCCGTTCGAAACACGCGTATAAATCTGAAACACTGATTAAAGACAATATTCGGAAACGGTGTGTGATCTTTGGTAGAATACTCAGAGAGAGAGAGAGAGAGAGAGAGAGAGACATCTGTGATACTAAGAGCGCGCTTGAAATCGGCGAGGATTCTTCGCCGCGAGTTTCGAAACGATCTCGAGGCTCTAAATATTCAACAGACAATCCCTATTCGGATCCTCTCGAAACCTACACAACGACCGTTCGGTGCGGTAGAAGTCAGCGATGAATCGCGACGAACGCGAGGCGTCGTCGCGACTCGCAATCGAGGCCAGAGGAAATTTACTCGCCGGTGCTATGATTATCGGTCGTAATTACGCCGCGGTCAAAGTCGTCCGATTACGATGGGTGTAATCGACACGTAAACACGAAACGAGCCCGCAAGTCTCGCGGCAGATTCACCGCGATCTCTCGCCCTCTCGCTCTCTTCTTTCTCTCTCGTTCCCTCGCATCCCTCGCGAATCGCCGATGCCGATGACAGGAGCGGCGCGCGCGAATCGCCCGAATTTCGCGCGTGAGTAAGAAGCTCGCTCTCGGCAAGCCCGAAAGCGCGGCCCCTTTGTGCGACTGTCGTCCCTCTTTCTTCGGCCGCCGCAACGCGTTGTAAGCGGTGTTACAAAGCGCCGAGGCGACCGACATGTAAAATTCTCTTTCGACACGGCGACGATATTCGATTCAAATTCACCAGCCGCGGACTCGCGTCTAAGACGAAACTTTTGCCTCTTTTGAGAGATACGTCTCAGCGAGAAGGAAAGAGAAGCGTTGCACCGTCGATTTACAAATTCATGTACCGCGATGATTTCCAGCGCCGTCGGAATCACCCCATTTCGGAAGGGAGATGATTGAAAAAAAACGTAGCCGAGCATTTCGGCGAAAAGTCCATCCTTTTCGCAAGTCCGCGTGAGCGCGTTTTGGAACGGTGGATAATCAATCACTTTCGCGTAACGAGGATCTTTCCCCTCTTAGAACCTTCATTTATTTTTAAAACGCAAAATGTAGAGAGGTATTCTAGAACTTTCCTATATAACGGCATTTCCCTCCAAAATTCTCATTGAATTTTTCATTTCGATATTCTCGAAGCACTCCGTAAAAATATTCCGATATTTGAAGCACACGCGAGAAGACGAACGATTCTGTAAGTTTTTGTCACTAACGACGCGTCATTTTCTAAGAAAGGATTACAAGATTCTTTTTCGAGCTTATATATCTTCAGAAAGCTGATATGATTCTCAACTCCGATTTGACGCGAATCTCATTTCCGCGGTAGCGACCTATCGATTGCTTACTTAGCGTACCGAGAGAAAGTGCATTCGAGTGCAAATGTAAAACATACCCTTGGCTGCGCCATGAACGCCCTGGCCGCGCCGGGGAACTCTGCGTGCTGAGCCACCGTAGCGGCTGTATTTTCCCACAATGTAAGCAAGCGAGCCTCAACACTTCACCACACTTTCTCCGCACTGTTGTAGCGCGCTAAGCTTAATGCTCGGACGCGCCGCGTGACGCTGGATTCCTTCACGGTAAAGATAAGAGGTTGTCCGTCAGAAAAAGGACTAGGGATCACGAATATCGGAATTCCAGACTCCGTCGGCAGCTGACGGCACGCTGCGAGATAAACCGCTTCTTTCTCTTCTCTTTTGGACGAGCCGTCGGGTTGCGCCGCACTCTCGCACCACACTCGCATTCACTCGGACAATCGCACGATCCGTCGGCCTGCTCCGGGTCCGTTCCTTTCTTTCTCTTCTCTCTCTCTCTCTCCCCCTTTCTCCGTTTTTCTCTAGACAAATTCTTGCTCTTGGCTCGTTGATTCTTCCTTCTTTTTGTGTTGTCTCTCTTTCTCTTTCTCTTTTTCTCTCTCCCTTTCTCTCTCGTCTTCGTCCTCAGGATGTGAAAAGACTCACAACAAACGAAGACAATGCGCGTCGCTCACAACGAAACGGCAGCCGACGCTGGTTTCAATCTATTGCGGGCGAGCGTCAGCACGACTCGGAAGTGAGTATCTGTTGCGGTAAAACTGCTACGACGAGTACGACGACGTCTGCAGCCGAGTACACGTGCTTCCTCATCATCGTTGCGGCAACACCACCACGGACACCTCCGAGAACACCCCCAGCTTGGTGTATCGGCGCGTCTCTCGCCTCAATCCCGCATGTCACGAGCGAAATGCTCGGGGGCCCGTTGCGCGCTCGGGCACGTGACCTGACCTCTGCGCAATACCAACAACGACGAATTATCTTGAGGAAAAGAGTGTGTCGCGCCTAAAAAAAAGTGCACCTACTACGCGTTCGTGCGCGAGGTGATCGCGACGAGGCCTGCTAACCGAAGATGCCGCATCGAGATGCCGTCTGGGTCGTGATTCCTCTCTCGGGTGTCCACACTGCAAAAGTGGAGTAACACAAACGAAGACCCGTCGTTCTGTTCACTTTCCCGTCCTCTCCACGATAGACGTGGCTCTTCGGAACGTCCTGCTCCTTATTCACTGTTTCGCACACCAAGGATCGATCATCACCCCGACGATGTCACTCATAGAACACGTTACATTCTCCAGTTCACGACACCGTATTCAGATAGCAGGTAAGAGCCACAATGACGCCCGACGACGAGGATGACGGAGGCGGCGAGTATGACGACAACGACAACGACGACGACGACGACGACGACGACGGGCGCCACGACGCGAGCACTATTCACCGGCGCGCGGCACAGTCAACCGACATATGGCGACGTGGAGGCTCGCACCTCACGCGGGTGTTCCGCGCGTTTACGGGAGCGAGCGGAGCCGCGAAGACGCGCGTGACGCACACCACTGGCGGACGGCGGCGTTGCCACGACAATGCGTTGTCCCACGATACGTTGCTGCTCCGAGGTTGCCGCGCCTTTACACGTTCTGCACGGATTCTAATACCCGGTCGCCGCGCTCCTTTTCAAAAGTGATATCGTACGCGCGCGCGCGCGCGATGTTCCTATGGCAGAATCGCGTCGACGAATGAATGCGAGACGAACGAAATGAGGAGGAGAGACGCGCGAGATAGACGACGCGAGGCGCGAGGCGCGAGGCGCGAGGCGAGGCGACGCGACGCGACGCGACGCGATGCGATTCAACGTAACGCAACGCGTTTACTATTTGCGCGGGCGGAATTGATACGATCGAACCGCAGGATCGTATCGTACGGACGCGGACGACGCGAGTCGAGAGAGAGGAGCCGCGCGAGCGAGAGCTGTCCGCGCGAGACGGCGGGCGACCCTCCTCCCTGACCGTGACTACTACTGCGTGTGGCACTCGTAACTCCGGCGGACAGACGGTGGTAGGTTCGTAGTGTGTTACACGTAGCGGCGGGCGCGCGGTCGAAGCCAGCCACGGGGATATGCGTGTTTCAGGTTTCCCCCACGAAAAAGCAACCGGGTGTAGATCGCACGGGTAGAGAGAAGAGCGGAGCGCGAGCGAGCGTGGAAAGCAGCGCCTAGCGCGGTTTTAGATCCTGCGCCGTCCGCAGTCGTTCGCCAACTGTCAATCAGCGCCGTGCTGCGCGACGGAGTGGGAGACGCGCCGACACGCCCACCGAGAACGGCCAATGTATCCCCTGGGCCCGCCCATCGGAGCCCGGCCGAGAGAGTAGGCGAGAGAGAGCGCGCGCGGTTCCAGCGCTGTGACGGTGAGACTGCGAACCATGGGATCCTCCGCCATCGCTACACCACTACCAACGAGACCGTCGACGAGCGACGACGACGACGACGCCGACGCTGACGTCGACGCCGACGCCGACGCCGATGCCGACGCTGACGCCGACGCCGACGCCAACGCCGATGACGACCACGACATCGACAACAACGACGACGACGACGACGACGACGACGACGACGACGAGGCCGTGGTGGCTAGGACGATACCAGAGAGCACAGGAGAACGTCATTCGTGAAATACTGCGAGATATCCCGCGCCCGACTCCATCGCTCCAATTCCATACGACGAGCGCGTGGTCGACCGAGGCGTTTCTCTCGCATTTGCCTCTCCTTGCCTCGAGGTTTAGTTCCGAGAACTAAAATAAGGAAAATTGCACGTTTCTGTGCATTTAACTTTCTGCTTTGCTGCTAGGCACACAATCTCCAAGAGATTTTCCAAAGAGACGTACTAAAACATTGTGTTTTAATAGATCTATATAATTAAATAATATCTGATTGATATAGTCCAGTTCAAATATTCTAGCAAACTATTTTTCAATTATAAAAGAGAATGTGAAAATATGAATAATTTTACGGGATAAACTTGATGTGAGTATTCAATGCGCGACTGACTGAAGCACTTCACGTGTGGAGGTGCCGTCGGTGATCGACGCGGGACAAACGGCGTAAAATTTGACATTGCACTTTCAGAGCTGCTCCCATTCTGCCCGGCGCCCGACAGATCAAACCGAATGGTTCGTAAACGCAAAATAATACTGACAGTCATCGTGGGTTTTAACAGAAAGAGAATCCATCGTTCTTCTAATGTTTCTCTACGATAGTACAAAAGCATCCACCTGAATAAATTCCTACTGATCTTGGTTTGCAGAATTAGTTAATCCTATCATAACAATTCTGTGCTCTCCCAAATTGCAGTCCTTTATAGTTACACTTGTTATTTCTTAATAAATAAATGCTTTATTTATTAAGATTAAGTCCAACTTATGTCGATAAAAGCCTATAATCTTTGTAATCTTATTTAACAAAACAAATCTTTTTTATCATCATTTCAACATTTAGACGCAACAGTTAAAAGATCTTTTATCCAAGGAAGACTACATATTGATATGAAAATGATGCATTTATATTTACATATGACATGTTTCTTTGTTATGTTTTGGATACAATAAACATTAAAATCTCATAATCAATTTAATCTTAAGATAAAGATTAACACATAAGGGCTTTTTTCTTTGTGTTAGATTTAATTCGAAAATTTCGAAAATTGGATTTGTATATTTTTGTATATTTTATTATTTGACATAGTCGAATATACACATATTGTGTTGACATATACATATACATGTACATACATCTGTTTATATATTTATAGATTAGTTCGTATATCACACTATAGGTATCTATATACAACTGCAATTTTTATTTTTTAATATCTAATATTTCAGGATCATTCTTTCCAAAGATAAAGATAATATGTAATAATAATTATTGAAATGCAATAGTTGTAACCCTACATTTACCAAAACGAAGATGAACTGAACAAATGGTTTGATGGTGACTACTGATACATCCATCTCACACAGATCCGTACTTGCTACTTGGAAATTAAATTATCGACGACGGCTACGTACGTAACTATCTTTTATTTTTTTTTTATAATTTCGTCGGCATTTCGCGCCTGCATCCAGCGGCGCTAGCGATCGAGCTTTGAATGAACCGAACAGCTGACTCCGCGTAGGAATTGGGTCGCGAACGTGCGGTTTCGAACTTTGAATGGTATTCGGCGTTCGGTGAGTAATAGCGACAGGAGGCGGTTACAGGAGGACGTGGAGGAGGGCGGGCGACCTGTCACCGACATCACTCAGTGTCTCCCTCCTGGCGTTCACTTCGCTCGATTTTATGACTCTCTCATCCCGCACTTTCCCCCCTTTGCCCTCCGCCGCTGCTGCTGCCGCCGCCGCCGCCGCCGCCGCCGCCGCCGCCGCCGCCGCCGCCGCCGCGCCCCCGTGCTCGTCCTCGCGCGCGTCAACCACCGTCGTCCTCAGCGCGCGTTTACATGCCGCGTTCCGCATAATATCGCAAATTGACACATCCGTGTTCGGCAGCCATCGATCGACGTGGCGGCGCCGAGCTGGACGCCATCGACGAAGTGGATAATGAATCCCGGATTCCCGAATTTAGACGCGTCTTCCTTCAGACACAGAGGTGACAAGACGTGGTGTCGTCCTCGTTGACTTGATTTGTTTATTTTATTATGTAAAATTTCAACGCGCATTGAGCGGTCTACGAACAATATGAAACGAACGAAATATAAATATAATCAACTCATAAATATAGTGAGTATAGATGCATGTTTATTAAATATAAAAATTATGAGAAACTTATTTTTACTTTGAAAATTTTGTCAAACGTTTAGAAAGTTTTTTCTGTAGATTAAAAATTCCAATTTTTTTTGCTTACTCACGTAGCAAACTTTAGCAAGCAGCTATACAAAAAAACTTTTATGGCATTAATATTCAGGTATATCGAATCGCTTATTGTAATCCCGAAAAAAGAAACAGCATGAGTCACCAGCGTCCTTTTCTGTACCCTTTTGAACTCATTTATTTAATTTCGCAATTTTCGCAAACGTCAAGATACTTTTAAGTAATTTTAACTACAGGGTGCACTTGCAGTCTGTTATTCTGTTACAGATCACAAGTCCAGTCTATAG